CAGCATACACTGGCCTGAATGGAAATGTAAATGGTCTCAACACAGTGAAATGCAGTCTGGGTTTGCACTGTTAATGCAGAGAGAGAGAGGAAGAGACTTTGTTGATGTCCTATACTAAGCCGTGCAAATTAGTGGATGCATCTATCATTGTTAAATGTAGCTTAATCTTAAACACTTCTCTTCCTCATTTGGCAGAATTCTGGTGTCGATTGGTGAATCATTTGGGGTGAGTTTTAAAATTTTTCATGTCTGGTCTTGAATGCATGTAACTTTTGGAGGAATGGGGTAGCCTGCTGGCACCTGTAGAACTGGCCAGTGATTTAATGTAGTGTTTTATTTAATGTAGTGTTTTATGGAATCTGTAAGCACAAAGATTACAGGGGTGTCCTGTTAACTCCTTTTAAATATCCAGACTTCTCTTTAAAATATTTTGCATTTTATGTTAGTTGCTTTGAAAGAAGATAGAGTTCGTAAACTGGATAATCTGGAAAGTTTGAGTAGCTTCAGGATTTATTGGCAATTCTTTCCTTATTTTCTTGTAATTTCAGACTTCTGAAAAGTTTCAAAAAATAAACCAGATGGTGTGCAACAGTGACTGCCAGCTAAAACGCAGCGCAGAAGTAAGCGCTGCTCCTAAGCCACTGAAGAGGCTGCGCTTTGATATAGAAGGGCAAGATGAAGCAGATGGAAGGTAAGGGATTGTTCTCAGCTTTTCAGTAAATTTATGTGTATTTGGTTCTTGGGGACAGACATCCTAACTTCTGGTAATTTGTGAACTTTAGTAAATATACTAAATGAGAGATGGTAGCATAATACTTCTCAATTAGATGCTTTGATGTCAGAAGCAAGGATTTATTTGGTGCCTGTACATCCAGCATCTTACTGTTACTGCTGAGTGCTAAACCATGCAGTTGTCTTTAGTCAGTCTTTTAAAAAACAACCCCCAAATTTTTTAGACTTAAGAGAAATCAAGCAACTCTTGAGTTTAGTGTGGAGGAAGAAAGAATTTGCATCTTTGTAAAAGGCGGCAGTAGCACTGAAATGAACTAACCTTGATTTAAAGTTAGGTTATGAGGATAAAAATTTTTTTTTTTTTTAACTTCTGCTTAGTCATATGCTTTCTGTCTGCAGCAAACACCTACCCCAGGAGTCCAAGTTCCAACAAAAGCTTGCAGAAATGAGTGAGTATTATTTTTTAGTTAACTGCACGGCACTGAGTGCCTTGGATAGAACAGTTTATGCCCACAGCAATAATGTCATTTTGGTAACTTGCTTAGTTTTTTGTACTTGCTCCATTTAATCTTGAAAATGCAGATTATAAAATGGAAACCCTCAAAAGCCTTTTTGAGGATATTAAATGACACAGCAGCATAGAAGATGTGGTATTACATGTGAATAAGAAAATGACCATGACACATTCTTCCTAAACACTAGAATTCTTGAAATGGAATGAAATGCTTGCCAAGGTTTTCCCACTTGCTCCAGTGACAGACCCTTGGCTGAGAGCTTGCGGGTAGAAATCAGTAGTAATTGCAGCAGCATTTAGTTGACCAGAACACCTTTTTAGGCGATTACAGTATAGTAAAGGAAAATTATATACACAGGAAAATGGTATGTAATTTTGTACGTTGCTTTGCTGTCTTTTATACTAAAATGCCTGAGACTTTTTCTTCTACTGTGGATCAGTGTTTCTTTCAGATTTTATGGGATCACTTTTCTGTTTTTCAAATGAAACTCAAATCTAGCTCATGAAAAGCAAAACAGCCCCGTCCCCACATCTGAGTTGTATTTTCCACTCCCAAGAAGGAACACACTTGGTCTGACCAGGCATTCTCACTCTCTGGTGGACTCTGAGCTCTGCAGCTGAGCAGATTTGCCCGTTAAAAATTCTTACCTAGGAAGTGTTTGCTCATCAAGATAGGTATGAGTACGGATCTAGGCACCTTTTGTTTATTTTAAGATAGGGGAAGTGTTGCAGTGTTTACTTGTGGCAGAGGTTGAGAAGGGATGTTCTATCTCACGTCCAGTTGTGTTAGTGTGCGTCACTGGCGGGGGAAGGCATTTCCTCTGCAGGCTGGCTGTGGGATGCGGGGACCGCGCAGCCCATAGCATCTGCCTGGCGACAAGACGAGACCCCCGCGTGATGCAGCCCGTCTGCCCGCCTCCAGGATGAAAACAGGCAAAGTGAGGGTACAGAAGCAATGAGAACTTCGGTGAATGGGTGGAATGAATTTAAGATGTGTGAGATTGAGCAGGAATTGCTGAAGCAACTCAGAATTACGTGTTTACTTTTAAAATGTGGGATTTGTTTTATTTAGAATAGTGTAATTCAATTCCTTGTATCATTACCAATTTTTAAAATCATGTCTGAAGTAATTCTGAGGAAAGCATTTAATTTCTCTTTTTTTTTTTTTTTTAAGCATCTACTCGAACAAGAATGCAAAAGCAGAAACTGAATGATGGAAATGATACCTCAGCCAGTGAAGAAAAGTGATTCTTCTCAGGACCAGGGGCTGCACTGCAGGCCCTCTTACCTTGTTTTTGTTTTATAGCCTTCATTAATTGAGTTGCTTTTTTAGTTGCTTTTTATTCCGAACTGCTAGTTGAAAGCATTTGGACTTTTTAAATTTTTAAATGTTTTTCATGATACTTTGCCTTATGATGTAGCATATATACAATGTAAGCCACTGAATTTAATTTATATATTTTTTTGAGGATTTTAAAAACAGACTTGGAAGGTGTCTTAGTTTTCTATTGCAACATTACTGATTTAAGCCAATTCAGTCTACTTGGATTGAATTTTTCTGTCTAAAGACAAAATGTTAGCTAGAATGATTTGAAATGCACTAATTTTGTTTCTTAGATTTCATTTTTAGATTTTCATTACTTGCAAATTTTGAAAATGAGGGGCCAGATACTGCAAAGATTTCTGTCTTTGTATATAATTAGCACATCAAATTCCCATTAACTTAAACTGCACAGCAGTCCTAGACCTTGTAGAGTCAGGGCCTCACATTAGAAGTACAACCTGAATTCAAAGTGAACTCATTATGCAGCTGTACTACTGAAACCAATACTTGGTGTTTTGTAGTTTTCCTTCCCCAGCTCTTGCCCCAGCGTAATTTCAGAGGGCAGTTACACTGCCCATCAGTTTGAATTTCATGGAATATGAATCCCACCGAGATTCCTCCCAGAAACTTGTTCCCATATGCAGAGTACTTGTTGTGCACTTTCTTACCTTGGAAAATTATCAATTATTAAAAAAAAGAAAAAAAAAAAAGAAGGAAAAAAGAAACCTAAATCCCACCTGGTACACGTAAGATTCCAAAATTATAATGATGTGGAATATTCTTGATTTCTTCAAATTTTCACCTAACTGTAGCCAAGCCAAATAGCTTGAGAAGCAGGCACCGAACCTCTTGCTAGAGCTGAAAGCTGAGTGTCTCCAGTTGGGTCCCAGGTAAGAGTAGCCTGGTCTCTAAAAGCACAGGGCATCTCCCATCGGCCTCACTGCAGCATCTGCACAAAAGCCGAACTTGATGAGCCCATGTTTGGAGAAATTGGTCTGCTTTATTTTACTGAAAAGGCAGAGTTTAATAGGCAACTTGCGAACTAGTGCTTTGCTAGTTACAACTAGCAAAAAAAAAAACCCAAACCCCCAAACTTTTTTCAGCTTACATGTTTGTAAGTTACTGATTCAGATACTGGAATTTTTCTTGCAATGATAAAGGGTTTGCAAAATAGCCAGTTAAAGAAAGCACGTGTTTTACTTCCAGTGGATTAAAATATAAGTAAATAAATGAGGTCCTGCTTTAAAATTACCCATTTTTATGAAATTTAGCTTTCGCAGCTTCTTAAATTAAAACAGTTACAGTAGAAAAGCATGCTATTCATTACACAAACATTTTAAAACAACATCTTCTCCAGGTAGCTTATTTAGAAATTGTTTAGCTGAATCTAGAATACTTACACTAGTACATTTTAAAGATCAGTTCTTGTGTTGAACGGAAGCTAATCCTAGAGCTACTAAAAATTCTACCGACAGCACACTGATTTGTCAATGAATTTTAAAATAAAATTGAGGGGTTTTTTTAGTCTCAATATGGCTTCAGCTTTCTTCCTGAAAAACATACAGAAGAGTTAGAGTACCTTATGTTTATTTTCTCACTTTTTGCAGTTTTACAGACAGAATGTATGTAAACATTGGGGTACGCTGACTGTAAGCTGTTACAGCCGTTGAAGTTCTTCCATGATCCTTTGGCTAGAGGGGTAACGTTAGAGTCCAGTGCCTAATCAGCTTTATTATTTCTTTACTGTGACAATGTATTTTTTTTTCAAACAGACTGAAGGCTCTACATCAAATGTATGATAATATTTTATACAACTAATCAGTTTCCTTTCAAGATAAATAAAATAGCTTTTAAAAGGTCTATAGTTGGAAATTTTCTTTTATTAGATGAGAAGGCACCTTCATATGGTAATGATGTCCTGCTGTATCACACTTCCACCATGATTCTGCAGCTGGTACAAGCAGAGGTCATTCCATCTCCAGTGATTCCCTGCTGGTGCAGAGGTCCAGATAGCTGCGCTGTTGGGCTTGGAGTTACCTTCAGAAGTTTCCATAGGACGTTCCGGACATGTTGTTCTCACCAGACCTTTTGTGCCAGGGCCCCCATTGGTAATGCTTCTGGCAGACGCAGGCCCATATCGAGGTCTGGGTCAGTGTCACGGCCCTTGCAGAGGTGCTTGAGGCAGTCTGCATTTAGAAGCGTCCCCATCATTTCACTACCCTGCTTTTCATAATCGATTCTTTTGCTTTCAGAGCTGCTGAAAACAGCCCAGGATGTCAAAACTCCTGTGTAAGCCGCCATGGCTTTCTGGGCCGGGCATCTGGCCGTAGGCACGTCAGCCTCGCAGGCTCCCTGTTGCTGCTGTATTAGAGCCCATAGGTGCTTTGTGACTCATAACTCTGCTGAACTTGCAGTGCTATTTATAGCAGCGGCGTTCATGACAATGCTGAGAGCACAAAGTGCACTGGCTGACTTGCCAGTCCCTGCCCCCTCCGGAAACACATTTTCAGTCTTATTTTTAAGCAGATACATATGCAAAGAAATGTGTATTGAAACTAACGGCTTTTTATGAGATTTGGAAATCTTACTACGTTTGAGAGTACCTTTCCTACAGCGAGATCTTGTTGTATTCAAAATGGGCTACAATATTGAAACTGTTTCAGGAAAAAAGAAAATTAGAATTCAGAGCAGAAGAGTTGAACAGAAAAGGGGGCGGGCGTTTCAGGTGCCTGATGGTGAGGATTGCACCACTGATCAAACTCTTCTCATCACAGTGGAGAAATGTACATTTGTGGAGAAAACTTGTCTTTGCCTAAGCTGTTTGTGTAAAATGAGGTCATGTGAAATGCATCTCGGAGAGGCCTGTTTCTTTCCATTAAGGCTGAGGGGAATTTAATCTGCTGGCTTGGCTGTGTAGTCATCTCGAGACGGATGAGCTGACTCCCAGCGTCTTTATTTGCAGTTTTATCCCTTAATCTCTTGCTGCTGTCCCCTGTTTCCAAATGCTGTTTGTTCTGACATGTCACAGAATGTGTAATCTCTGTGTTTTCAGGTACAGGAGTGGCTGCAGGAAGATAACCTGTGTCAAATGTGAAACAGCTGGAGAAGATTATGGCTGTGTGCAAAGTACAAGTTGAAGTATTTTAAAATGTAACAAATAAGCTGGTCATAATGTACATTTGCTTCAGAAACAATTCTTTGTGTTTTGAGGACAGTTTTATTAATCATTAAGTCACTAGCGCATTAATTTCTTTGAAAGATGGAAATACACTTATGCAAATTCTCCAGCTCTTTTTTTGCAGACTCAGTTTTCATTCTGCTTACAAATACTTCATCTGGTGGTGGTGATTTCCTGAAGAACACAAATAGACTTTGAAGTATCTCTCTGAAATGCTATCTCTGTTTTATTTCTTTTTTTTCCCACACTACTAACTACAGTCAACTCCGTTTACAAGTGTTGGACTTTCTTCACTTTTACTGAAAAGAAAGGAAAAAATCTGACTCATACTTTTTAAATATTATGGCATTTTTATTAATGGTCTATTGAAACCAGGCAAGTTTATAAAGAAACAAGAAATCAAAACATCATGTTATGTTCAGGCTGTAAACTTTCTACATCATTAGGCGGTACCCAATGAATCCTGTCTCTATAGGGGTAATTAAATGCTTTGCTTTACAAGGAAAGCCCATGGAAATGGTTCAGATCATGTAAATACGGCAGTTTACATAGTTACCAGGCATTGCAATAAAACTCTTGAGGTGGGTATGAGATGACAATGCAATGCTGGCTCTTTGCTTCAGTAACTTAAGAGCACCTTTAAATGACCTCTATCCCTGTCATTTCTTTTTCTTTCAAATTCATTTGATTCAGAAAGTTATCCACCTGGTTTCTGCAATGTGGAACATCCCTCTTTATTTAAACCCCAGATACAGTTTATGCTTGCCCTTATTTTCACTTCTTAGCAAATACCTTTTTGTCTGTGGTATCCTAAAACAGATAGTAAGTATTTAAGCTACAAGATCCACAAACATAAGTTTGTTGCCGACCATCTCACAATGGTGAAACGCATCCCTAATTTCCTCTAAAGTGTCCCATGATTGGGTTTCAAGCACCTATTTATATACATGCATTGATGTTTAACCACCTAAGCTGGTATGTTTTTTTTAAACATTGACCTTTAAGTGCCAAGGAAAGTGCATGCAAATGAAAGTTTAAAAAAATTAAATAAATAAATGTCTTGATGAATGTAATGCTACCACACTGCATGAATAAAAGCCAACAGTGACACACTGGATCTTTAGAATCACCTTCATTCAGTCCAGAGATGCTTTTTCTCAAATTACAGGCTTTGTCAATTACTCTGAAATTGCAACTAGGCTTTAATGTGTTCAGTAGGTTGGAAATTACAGCAGGAACGAAATAAATAAAAAAAAAATGGCACTATTGGTTATATTAAGCCAAAAACGCCTTGCTAAGAAAGCACGCCATTTTGACTACAGTAGTTGTTGAACTACTGCGTTATGAACTTGAGCCAGCTTAGGAGAGTGGTACCATGCTCCAGTGCTGTCACTTTATGGAGCGGTGTCTCCAGTGAACCAGGCTCTTCATTGAGCAGAGAATGTTTTTGATCAGACATTGAATTAAAAACAATCATTTACAGTTTTGGTTTAGTTCTTTAAGTAAAACAACAGAAACATTTGGAGAGGCCTTTTATAGTACGTTTCTTGTGAAGGCCGCAGTGACCAAAAGGCTGTTAAAAGTGGCATGGGTGCCCATCTGGTTCCATTTCCTAGTGCGGCTGGCGGCGTGCCAGTGCGATGCCGTGGATGTGGGGCAGGATCCAGTACAAGCTGCTACCCAAAGGTTGGCCTGTGGCAGTACGCCCTCCTTCTGTGTGCTGCTACGGCTAAGAAAATGCTGGCAGGTGAATCCGGCAGTTCTCGAGCCCAGGACTGAAAGAGGCAGACTTCACTCCAGCCATCCCTGGCTTAAGCAAAACATCTGGAATGACCCAGCCTTGGCTTACGTAGAATTGCCTTGTGTCTATGCTTTGGTATTAGTGCTGGGCGGTATCATGTAAGGTTTGCAGTAAGTTGTGCCCTACCGTGATACTGTTTTACTCTATCTGTGTGCCTGAGTCAAGCGCTTTTCAACACAAACTTATCAAAACTGATCTCATTCCCCCAGGGAAGTTGTGGTTTTGATGAAACTGCTTTATGTACTGGGAAGTTCTTGACCAGTTCCGTTTGAATACAAAATACTGACACAGCTGCTGAACTATGGGCTTATGCTGCTGGAGGAAGTTGTACTAGTCACTGAGAGGGTGGCAGAATACGCTTGTTACCAGTAGGTGATCCAATACATTTCTAGTGACAGTCTGAGGCAAACGTCTCAAACAAGTAATTTTTTACCGCAGCATTTTCCAAAATAATTTGCTTCCTAAGTAAATTCTGCTGTCTGCATGCCTCACACTTCAACTCACACCTGCAGGGACTGATGTGAAGAGAGGCACTACTCATACTTCTCATTTTCTTCCCTGAGGATGGGCTTCTCCTTTTCCTCCTCCTCCTCTTCCTTCTTCTCAAGGAACAGGATTGTTTGAGAAATGATCCTCCAATACAATAAAGAACAGTTATTTCTACTTTAGAAATGAGGAAATGAGGCTGCGATCATTTAAGAGAATTAGGTTCTTAGAAACCACATTTGAGGATTAGAAAAAGTCATCGAAGGATTCTGTGGCACAGCAAGGATATGAAGGAAGGTCGCATGACTTACTAGTGTACTGAGCCTGGTCATCCAGCTTCTTGCCTTTGCCATTTGTAAACTACTACAAAAGGCACTTAAAGCCACTTCACCCAGTCAAACTTTTAAGAGAAATAATTTCTCAGGGTTAATTCACAGTTGCCTATTAGAAAATTCAAGTAAATGCTTCATGAACTCAGCATCTTCTGTAATGGGACAAACCTGCCTCTGTGAAACACTGGGTGGGGGTTTCATCTTAACTCACTTTAGTCAGTTAGAAATCAAGCACCTACTCTACCTTAGCCATCTGGTCCCCTCTATGATCAGTGATGAGAGAGAGGCATGTCCAGAGGGCAACTCCTCTCACCTGAAAAGGCATGTAAGGTAAGTGGTATGGTCACCTCGCAGCACTGACCAAAGGAGAACCTGAAACAATGTATTTGGACAAGGTGTCCTTATTGCCACGTGGAAATAATGTGAGTTTCACTCCTATGATTTAATTGTAAGACCCATTTCATCACTTCAAAACTACCTTTTTCTCCATTTTTCTTAAGATGATCTATCTGGGGATAGATAGTAAGACAGGAATAGACAAACCTCAAGTGGAACTTCCCTTTTCTTGAGATTTTTGGATTTGGGTTTCTTTTTCTTGGTAACAAGTAACCAGATGGTTTTCTCAGTACCAAAACACACAGCACAGTAATTCATGTCCAGACAAATACTGTGAATGCTTCCTGGCCCATTGGGGTGCCAGGGAACATGCTTGGTGTAATGGAAAGGAAGATTCTTTTCATTCTGTCTAGAACAATGGATATAAGTGCCAGGAACTCAAAACTGTAATATCCAGCTGAAGCTCTTCATGGCTTACGTATTTACACTCCAAATAAACACCAAGTGAGACATATCCTTCTACCAATCAGAAAGCCTCTCATCCTAAAGAATTTATATTACTTTATCATATGTTCAGAAAAACAAGTTTGTATCTGTCTTCACCGGATAATAAACCAGGCAAAAAGAAGCCCACTATGGCATATTAGCTTAGTTTGATGATAAAAGTATACTATGAAAGTTTTAGCAGCAAACAGGTCACTGTCGATAAAATCCAAATGCAGGTTGGTTGTTTGGAAAAAAAAAAAAAAAGAAAAAAAAAAAAAACTGAAAAAAAAGAAAAACTCAAAGATAATGATAGCTTAGTTTGCTTGACTTTAAGCGGGAAAGGGTAGTTACTGCATTAGATTTTTGTTGTTAAATTCTGACTGTTGGCAATGAACTCTCACCATACATCTACGCTGTAGCCATCTTTACAAAACCTGTATGTTAGCAGACTTTCACACATCTCCTAGGCTGATGGACACCGAGTCTTCCTTTCCAAACCTTTGCACATTCTGACCATGGATAAGTTCTCCAAAGGAGAAGTATTTCCAGGAGGGAAGAGAACGTGCTCGTCAGCTTGGTGGTAGTCAGACCTCAATTTCGGAATGCTCCCACTCTGCTTGCTTTGCTAATGAAGTTTTTCAGGAGGTCGTGGTCCATTTCTGCAAAGCCTTGAGTTTGTGTAACAACAGTTAAATGGTTTATGCAAAATCTGAAGCAAAATTCTTCCAAGTCCTAGGAACAAATTGAGGTAATTTGTAATATGAATGACTATAGCAAAGTTATTATTTTTCTGTTTCAGATCTGTCATTTAATTAGCAGAGAATACACCAGATTGTTCACATCATTACCAATCCCTTTTCTAATCAGTTTGATTAGATCACAAATGATAGGATGAAATTTGTTCATACAAACTATTCAATAAACCCCCTCTGAGAAAACAGGAGTAGCCACCTAAATCGACTCTAGAACTCCATCACATTTACTGAGCTCATTAGAAAAGTTATTAATAAGTGAAACCATCAACTTTCCCCACATACAACTACTAGAGCATCAGTAACTCCTTTCTTTTCCTCCCTGCACTGAATTCAGTAGTGGTCCTGTGAAAACCAGCAGATATCCTAGTCTTGCAGAAAATAAAGCAAAATATGATGTAACATTCAATGATGCTCACTGAACACAAACTGGATGTTAGGATACATGTGTCCTTTGTGGCAAACCTAGGAATTGTGTGTCCATATCTAGGAACTGGGATACCCAGATAGCAAAAATGGTTCTGTCTTGCCCTGGATGCTATAACAGGATGTTCAGATGTTCAGCACAGGACAGGTACAAGCCATTAGGCCATACAACCATGATTTCACACAGCAAATTTTGCCCACTGAAAGTCCTCACAACAGTGGCAATCCTTCTCTCCATGCACTGGGTCAACCCCGTTTTGCTGGTTCCTATGCAACAACTTGCTGTTGAAGGAAAATTAATTACCTTCTGCAGCAAGCAGAGCTGGAGCTAGCAGCAAGGCAAGTCTAAATTGGCAGTATGATCCATGATCTATAAACTCTTCAGGAGTTACAGCAAAAAGAGGTCTCTTAATCCATGCCAGTTTTAGTCCATGTTAACTACACAAACATTGCAGCCAGGGCTTTAAAGTAGAAAGAAATCTAGCAGAATACCTGTGCATTTCCCTTTGAAAACTTTTGCTTAGATTGAATGTTTCTATTGCCCCTGTCAAGATGTACCTAAAGCTTTAACAGAGGCCAAGCAGCATAAAATATCCTTTAAAAAGAAATAACATAGCAACAATGCACAGAAATAAATAGTATCTCTCATTAAAAAGTGCTGGAAAAGCAAGAAAAGGAATGAAAATGGAAGAAGAAGAAATAAAAAACGTAGAAGAAATAAAAAATGTAGAAGACCAAAGACACTGACAGCTTAAGTTTCAGCAGAGCTCTGAAATGCTACTGCCAGAATCTGGGTTGCTTTACAGTCAATGTGCAAACTTTTACGTTAAATAAAATGAACAGCCGCTGCCTTTTCTGGTACCAGTCTATGAAAAGGACCATAGATATCATAGAATTCTGATCACTAATTTTGCAGTTTCAAGAAATACTGGCTTTTAATTCTGTTATATAGAAGATGACTAATCTAAAATTTGCTGCACTGTGTATTAGAAATATGCTTTAAAGTAATTTGTAGCAGCAACTCTTTGTATTTTCTGAGGATAGGACAAAATATTTTCAAGCATTTTTAATCCTAACAGATGCATACATACAGTAGCCAAGTCAGTCTTCAGTTAATTTGATATGTTAATGGCAGATGACACAGCATTTTAATCTTGCACTTGCAGTGTTCACATTTAATGACAAAAAATTGAATTAATTCTATCTTTTCAAACTTCCAAAATATCAGGCCTCTTTCATAATCCTCCTCTGGACAGTCTTCTACTGAAGTGCTGATACACTGCACATGGTTCTCAAACCAATTTTTATTGTATTAATGTAGTACACTGAAAGATCCTGGCTTACTTCACAATTCCTTAGACAGAGTATCCCATACGTTTGATAAAGAAGTCTTTGCTGCGCTTCTCTGAAGCAGTTCTACTATATCCCTTTCTGAGCTGTGAATGTAGGGAGGAGGGCAACAATGCACTCCTGAGTTTGGCACATGCCGCACCTGGGGCAGGTGAACCAATTCATCATCTGATGATCGTGTTAAAATATTACATGTTTTGAAAGAAGACTAGGTATACAGAATAAAACGATGAATCATAGAAGGAAGAGGAGGATAATATATGTTTAGTCATCTAGCCAATGCAGTTTATTGTGTTTCAGCCATTATAAACTAGTACTTTGTCCAGGCTAGTTTTAGTACTTCACAATACACCTAAATGTATCTTTAACTACTCTTTAACGACTTCACCTGACACAGGTCAACAACTAAAGATACTTCTGCTTTGGAGACATTCAAAACTGTTGATAAGCTTGTAAGAGGAGAAACTCCAGAGTAAACTTTTGATGAAAACTTCTGCTTGTTAGGAGAATCACATCATTTGGTCCTCCCTTCCTGTCCAGTCTTCCCCGATATGCTGCGCTTCTACCACCACCACACATTGAAAGTACAATTCCTCTTTGCCTCAGCTGTTCATGCCTTCCCTTACTGATACCTTGGTTACAACTGCTTTGTAACTGGCAGCTGATAATCTTATTATCTACTAATTTCGATTTACAAAACTCACTGACTTCTGGCCTCCTCTTTACAATCCCCACACAAATTCATCTTATCTAGTACACTGCCTCCATACAGCACAGACTACTGCAACATTTTTTACTCAGTTTTTGTTTCAGTCCCTTCTTTCTACTTGCTTCCTATACCTGGAACTGTTTATCAATCCATCGTATCTGTTTGGCTATATTAATCTTCTCTGTTTGGCTATATTAATTTCATTCTTATAAAGCAGAAGAAATCTTGAACAGAAAGCTGAGGACTTCTCAACTAACATGCTCAGTTATAAAAACGGCTACTAAGTCTAAAATACATACACAGATTTCTTGAATAATAAAAACTATCACATCATTATTTCCACAATCAGCATAGCACTAAGAAGTTGAGAAAAGGAAAACACCTTTGAAAGTATTTGTCTGTTTACAAAAAAAGCGCTTGCAGTACTGCTGATAACAGGTTGAGTGCTAGTGAAATATTCCAGAGCCAAGGGCAGACCAGATGACAGGATATGGGGAGAGGAATAACAATAGGTAATTCATTGCGTGTCAGCACGATTCATTGTAAACAACATGGCGAAAGTGGATTTTTTATATAAGCACAAGTGTAAATAGGGAGGACTTTATGGGTGAATTCTCCCACTGCCTGTTAAAAGTGGTACCAGACACCGGCAGACAAAATGATCAGGTGGAGAGCTCAGGAAGTGAACAGGCAAAGCAAAATCCAAAGGTGGAGAAGTAAATGGCAGTGAGAAATTTGCATGCCATGCCATGCCAGATGAGAAGGCAGGAAGCAGATTAAGAATCGTGACTCACAGGTGCAAGCCAAAAGGCCAGGAAGAAAACACTAGTAGCTGCACAAATGTCTGGGAAGCCAGAAAGGGAAATTGCAGTAATTATGCCTCATCAGTTACATGCAGTTATGTTTAAATTAAACAGTTTCATTTCTCAGAAAACAACTGTTTGCCTGAAGAGAAGTTCTCCTTACCTGAGCTTCATATTTGACAGCGGCGGAAAGAAGAGCAATGGCATTCTCTTCACAAATGCCTTGTTTGATCGTTTGCTGGCAAAGCTTTTTCAATCTGTTTTCTCTATACAGTGTTGCCAAATCTAGCAGTCCTGTGAAAATTCATACAGCTTTAACTATCCTGGTGCAAAACATATATATTTCTTTTCAAATTAATCAATTGCCCTATTGTTTTAGGCTGAATTGATCAAAGACTTGTTCTATTTTTTTCCCCTAGATGATATGTGCATTTTTAAAGGTCCTCAAAAGACGTATCAAAAAGGGACCCTTTTATTACTACACAAGTGTTCTGTCTTCTTGTTCACTGTAATGTATCTCATTCAAGGCATCAATTAGTGACTTACATCCTCTGAAATTCATGTGGGGAACAGCTCCCTTTCACTCATGATCAAATTGCCGCAGCTACTCAAACAGAAAAATTTTAGTATGGCATTAGTGCCTTTTTAAGGAAAAAAAAGTTCTTGGAGAAACAATGAGTTCTTTTTGAACACTGCATCTTTGATCTTATTGCATCCCCACCACCAATTCTCCTTGGGCATGTTTCCTGCTACTGCATCCCTTCTTCCTGACAGCTGCCAAACTCAAGATTTAAGTGCTAATAAAACTAAAATTAACAAGCCCTGCTTTCCTCACCCTGTTATGACACACAAACCCAACTTTTCAGAAACAGCAACCTAGAGTTATTTCCATTTACGGCAAGTACCTATAGCATCTTCAGGAGGGAGCCTAATGTTGTCTGTATACAGGTATTCCAGGAAGGCTCGGTAAACAGGATAAGAAAACTCACTCATTTCTATAATTTCATCATCATTATTCAGTATGGAACGAAAATGTTCACACCTATAAAACATGAACAAAGATTGTATACTGTAAAGAGTTAAGCTTGAAAGATGAGCTGCAGCAAGAAATTGATAAAAAAAAAATCAGTCATAACAGACTAAATACACAACCATACACTCTAGCTACATGACCTCTTGGTTTGAATCCATTAATTTCTTTAAGCCTTATAAGCCTTATAAATATAATTCAGAATTTTCCTTTATTTCTGTTATTAATATTCTATAGTAGGCTCCATTTCTACTTACAATAGCTTTAAGGATGCTCCATGTGTTTTTGATGTCATTTTCTTAAATACGTTATACATTAACTATGAATTTTATTACCTAGCTTATAACAGATAAAGTTTACAATTAAGTTAGACAATTCTGACATTTCAACCTGCTTTCTCCAACATGATCTAGTAAGGAGGGAATATTTTAGATAACATTTGTTCCAGTGTCAGAGTCCATACACAATTCAGTGTTAGATTTAATCATTATACTCAGGGATTAAAATATTTAAGGTGAAGACATTCTCACACAGATCTTTCATCACCTGTTTCTTGTAAGTCTGAATATTTTTGTGACAGACAAGATACAAACAAGGAAAAAGCACTACCTTTGATAGTGGTACCCTGCAACTTACAGTTCACAGTAACTTACAACTCACTGTAACTTACTGCTCCCTAAAAAATATCCTGTAACATTTGAATTATTTTCAAAATTTTTTGCTGATGGAAATGAATATCACCACTTCAGGTAACTTTTCCTATAACAGCCACAATTTAATTGGACTCTTTTATACTACACTACTTACTTCCTAACTCTCCCACATCAGAATTTGTTTTTCTTTTACTAAAACTTTTATGTAAAAGGTAGGTTGGTTTTCTGAGACAAGTCTACACCATAAAGACAGCATAACTTAGATACAAATACAAATAATTATTTATTTCTTTTACCACTTAATTTACCTTTTTCACATTTGATTTTACTGGTTATTTAAAGAATTTTTTTTCTTAGGTTTTTTTTTTTAATAAAATAAATAAACATCAAGTCAAATTAATAAAGAATTAAAAGGTCATTATCTAGCTTCTGCCACATCTTGTACCACATTCTGGCATTGGAAGAGGCAGACCAAACCCCATTGCTTTGTTTCCCTGAGCTTCATGTTAAGTGGTGGTGACCATGCTATCCATCCAGCTGTGGAATAGACCTTGGGAATGGTCTGTTGCCTCAGTGTCACCACACAAAAGTAAAAAGTCAGAGAAAAGGTGGTCCACATTTCTCCCTTAAAAATAAATAAAAATCAGTTGGTACTCATCCTTCAGTCTCCAAAGTACCTTGGAGCATCTCATCCTTTGGCGTGCCTCTCTCCCTCTCTCTATCTTTCAGTAGAGACAGACCAGACAGCTAATTTTGGCTGGCTAAATGCAGAGCAGAGGAATCCCACCCACATACCCCTATCTGTTTCTGCAGGCAGTATATTGCTTGGCCAGCCTCCCACTGAGCTGGGCGTTGCCCTGCCATTTCACCACCATCGCAAGCTAATAACCACCAACAATATGATCTAGTTCAACAGAAGGCATAGAACAAGATGGAAAAAAGTCTTCATAAGCAGTAAAGAAATGACCAGATAAAGAAAAGGAACTTTTACCAGCACTGCATTCATGACAATGCTCTGAAACAGGCTGAACGCTGCAAAATACCATGTTAAATACATTATCCTCTGATCCAGTTGCATCATGAGACTATAAGGCTTAAAGAAAATATTAATTCTACAGACTGTGCCTGATGCTTTATTATTCCTGCATATTATTTTGATAATGCCATACATTTAAATCCATTTTACAATGAGACACATTTCCTTCCCAGAATGCCACATAATCTGAGAAAAGTAGAGCAAGAAAAAAGAAGTAAGGAAAAGTTACCTATAGTCAGATTATCAGGAAAAAGAACCTCAGAAACATTTTGGGGATACACGAGATTTGAAGTGGTATCTGATGAAGGACACGTGGCATTCCAAACAAAGAGGGTGGACTATAGGCACGAGTGTAATGTACAAATAATGAAACCAGTAAAGGGAAGAAAATAATAACACAGGTAATTGGAGTAGTAAGAGGAGAGCAGAAGGGGCAGCCAAAAATTAACAAGGAACTTTAATTTTATGCAAGAATGTAATATACAAGAAATCACTAAAGAGACTCAGGAGCAAAAATAGGAAGACGGAAGTGGTGATAAGCAGGATGAGATAGCCAAGCATTTTGAGAAAGAAAATAGCAAAGAGAAAAACCTATTGTAACAATGAGGAGGATGGAGCAGAAGCAGCCAGCAAAGACAGAAGAGATCTAAAGCAGTGTCTCTAGAATACCCTAGTAGAAACTGCATCAGCAATAACAAACTAATCTCCGCATGTTAATAACAATGTGATTACTCTGTAGATCTGTGTACGTCAAATCTCATTGTAAAGGGGTGTTAATTTGCAAAAAACTGTAAAAACAAAAAGAGAAGCCAGCTTAAAATTCAAATTCACCGATAAGAAGATTTAAAACAAATAGGATAAGAAATCTGACAAAAAAGGAAAAAAAGATAATCTGAAGAGCATCTATAGAAGTTGCTGAAACAACTGAAGGGTCCTGTAGAAGGAAAGAAAGGCAGGCAAGAATAAACACAAAATCCTCAAATCATCCTGGTGGAAGAAGCCAAGCATACAAAGGAGGAAAAACTGATTCAAACTACTGGGATTTAAAACAAATAGGATAAGAAATCTGACAAAAAAGGAAAAAAAGATAATCTGAAGAGCATCTATAGAAGTTGCTGAAACAACTGAAGGGTCCTGTAGAAGGAAAGAAAGGCAGGCAAGAATAAACACAAAATCCTCAAATCATCCTGGTGGAAGAAGCCAAGCATACAAAGGAGGAAAAACTGATTCAAACTACTGGGAAGG